AAAAATATTCTAAAAATATTTAGAATACACATTCCGCGCTTAAACTGTCCCTCTAAAATCAGTACAAAACGGTATCTACACATTACTATAAAATCTAAAATAAATAGAAATCAGAATCTACACATTATTATAAATCTAAAATAAGTAGAAAATAAGTGGAGTATCCCTGCTCCTGGAAAGATGAGACACTTTATGTGGCAAGCTTTGACAGGATGCATTGCGACGACCGAGAGACTCGCCTATAGACACCTGGGCACTGATAGGAACTGTCCTAGATGCGGTTACCCTGAGGAAACCATTAACCATCTTCTTTTTAATTGTCCCCCTGCCCTCCAGGTGTAGGCTTTATTGGACTATCCGTCACATCCGGGTTACTTCCCGAGTACCTCTGTTTATCAAAACATGAACTTTCTTTTTCAGAAGAAGAAAAACGTGGCCTATATGGAACCACTTATTAAAATCTTCCCATGGATCCTATGGTACATATGTAAAGCACGCAACGATAAATTTTTCAATGGAAAATACATATCACCGGTCGACACCCTTTAGCTGGCTACCATAGAAGCTAAGTGCTGGAGAAAAGCTAACTTGCTCGAGGACGATGAGGAAGAGGAGACACAATCTGGCCCGGCCTTTTGCCCGTCTCTCCTTGTGGACCCCCAACGCCCGATCTGTCAAATCGATGTGTCATGGATTGATAATGGAACGGTCAGTGGCCTAGGGTGGTTTTATAAGGATCAAATGGGAGTCGAAAAATTTGGATTACAAGGATGCCGAAAAAGCATATCAGCCCTTCATGCGGAGATGGAAGGACTCATATGGGCGATGTCTTGTTTAAGAGATTTTTAGTGTGCCGCGATTCATATGGAGACGGATTGTTGCGACCTGGTAGACATGATTGCTAATCTTACTGACTGGCCGGCCTTTGCCTCCGAGCTAGTCTCTTTCCGACTTCTACAAACAAGGTTCTTAAAGTTCAGCATCACCCATATTCCGAGGTCATTGAATTTGCGTGCAGATTTTCTCGCCAAAGAGGTGAGAAATAGTGGTATTCTCTTTTCCCATATATATTAGATCCCGCCGGACAGAGAATTTCTACGGAACGGCTCAAGTCTGTCTACCACTTGATCTTACAAAATGGGCGTCGACAATAAAAAAGAGAGTAGAAAACGGTATCTACACATTATCAGAATCTTTATTTTTGTAAGATTTTTATTTGAAATTAAGGGTATTATTGTTATTTAGAAAATATTTATTCTAATGAGATAGAAAATATATGAGATTAATCTAAAGGGACAATGTTACTATTTTTTGGCTTAAAAACAACAAGTTTCCCTATTTTTTTTAAGCCGGTTATAATCTAGTCCATCTAGAAGATGTAAATAGGTATAACAAATTCACATATCCCTATCTATTCTATTAAAATAGAGTCATTTTTTTAATCTATTGATTCAAGTTGTCATTTAAATTTGGACCCTCTCTAGAGTGTTACAAATAATACAAGTTATATAGTTGATTGAACCGCATTACTTAAATTAAACCGGCGGTTATTTATGGAATAGAGTTTTGGGCTTACTTTTGTTTTTATAACATTTAATTGTTTGGTTTTTGGGCTTAGTATTAAAGAAAAAATCCAAAAAAATTAAATAAACTTTCCACCTTAATGGATCAAAAATCAACTACTATTTTCAGGCCCAAAAATATTTAATATTTTCAACAAAACAAAATTATGTATTATTAATCACTTATTTAAATTATATACTTTAAAATATGTTAATATTTTTTAGCCCAAAAATATTTAATATTTACAACAAAACAAAATTATCTATTATTAATCACTTATTTAAATCATATACTTTAAAACATGTTAATATTTTTTATTTAAAATAAAAATCACTCTATCTTGATAAATTTTAATGGTAAATTTTAAATAATTTATTGTTTTATTTTTCTTAAATAATTTACAGATTTAAAAAAAATTTAAAGCAAAACCAAAAACCAAATCTAAAAACTAAAATCCAAAACCAAAAGCTGAAAACGCAGGTTATATTTTTTTGTTTTTTTTGTTTACAAAATAAACTATTTCAAAAATTTTAGAAAATTATTTTGTCATCTTTTCTGTTTTAAATTACGGGTCTAATAATTAAAAACCCAAACCAAAAGCTGAATATAAAAAATAGAAACTTAAAAACTAAAAACCAAAAACCAAAATTTAAAACAAAATCTAAAAATAAAAACTGAAACTAAAAACTAATGAAAAACAACTATCACCACAAATTTTGGTAAACTAATTTTATACCAAAACATTTTTTAAATTAAGACAAAAACAAATTATATAAATTTTTAAACATAAAAAATTTCAAGCGCGGGTCAAAATCTAGTTTTTTTTAAAGCCGGTTATAATCTAGTCCATCTAGAAGATGTAAATAGGTATAACAAATTCACATATAAAAATATTAATATAAAATGGAAAGTGACAGCTTCTTTTTAAAACAATTCCAGGAAAGGAGGGAGTCATGTTTGGCTGGATCTCACCTAAATCCCACATTCCCATACCTTCTTCCTCTTCTTAGGCACATGATTCTTTCATTCTTTTTCGTCAAAGTTATACATGTACAAAAATACATATGTACAACAAAAGAAAGAATAATTCTTCCATATATTTTACGGGTATGATATTTGACTCCCAAGTCGCAATTCATTTCTTCTTTTTTCTGACGTCGCCCAAACATTTTCTAGCGACAAACATTTCTGTGGTAATATATTTATTTGCCTTTAACACCTTATTAATGTAAGTTGCATCCAGACTCGGATATTTCTATATATATTTTAGATATGTAAAGTTATAGCATAAATATCTATCTTATTAAGTTCAAAAAAAAAAAAAAATATCTATCTTATTAAGAAATTAGGTGAAGTCCATTATCATACAATATGGTTATAATGATAGATTCGGCCACCTACTTTCCTAAAACATGTCACATGTCTTCTCCCTTGTCTTATTCTTTTTTATCTTTTTATTCTTATTAAATTATTTAATATTGTTCATTTCTCCCAATCAATTAGCTGTTCCTTCACATTCCATTTCTGGTCTCGGTAGTGTCTTGTTTGCGCCCATAGTGTAAAAATTTATTATTTTGGCACGAGTTACCCAGTTTTAAATCAATAGGTACAATTTAAGGCTTTGACCGGTAACCAAAGGAATGTGAGGGAATAGTTAATTCCTTTTTATTCCTTAAATTTGACATTATTTATAAGGAATTATAATAGTTAATTCCTCTTCATTCCTTAAATTTGACACCATTTATAAGGAATAATTTTTCTTCAATATTTCTTCTCATTCCTTTTAATTTAAGGAATCAAAGAACAAAATCATTCCTTATCAAATCCGGGGAGGAACAACATGGAACAAGTATTCCTATTATTTTGTTCCTTTTCATTCCTTTCCTCGTTGTTCCTATTATTCCTTTGGTGGTCACCAATCTATTATTTTTTTATACGAAATGTGAAATTTATTGATTAATAAATTCTTTTTTATGTACGGACTAATGAATGCTTCAAGAATTGAACGCTAGAAAAAATAGGTGCTCTGTTGATTCATCTGGTTCACCACAGAACAAACATCTTTGCACATGTCTCCATGACTCCATCTTCTCTCATACACATCTCGTGGCTAACCTGTCTTTGATTGCTAGCCAAGAGATGAAAGAGAATCGAGGAATCTCTTGCGAGAACCAGACTATCATGTTCCCCCGGTTTTATTTATCTGCTCTCTTATATGTTTCCATGTGGACTGATATGAAAAAACAGTTAAAAAACTCGTTTGGTGGGCGTGGCTCCAAAAAGTACTTCGTTCCTGATGCGAGAAAGTAGAATTTTAATTAATTTAACTATTTATTATATTGTGTTCAAAAATAAATAACTATTTATTATACATTAGGAATTTTGTTGAAATTTATTAACAGCAACAACCCCTAAGTTCTTTGGCAAAAAAAGAAGAAGAAAGTATTTACATATAATGAACGAGATATTTGTTGTTACTTGCTATACTATCTATATGGTCCCGCTGTAACCTAATTCAAGTTTCTAGAAGTCGTCTGGTATAAATAATATACATCTTTATCTACATGGAAAGATGGATAATGATTCATCCAACCAAAAGAGTCCAAAACTCTGTTCACATTTCACTCTGGGTGGATTAGACTTATACATTTGACAATTATTTTAAAAATCAAATAACTCATGCTGATTGAACATGCTTACATATTTTAAAATATATTAATACGTAGTGTCAGTGAACGACTTCAATTTAAAGTTTGAACTTCGAAAGAATAATTAAAGACTGAGAGGGACCTAGCTTTGGAGACGCTCATGTGTAGAAGCAAGACCTTCGCAGTGCCGCAGTGAGTCCGATCTGGCAGTTTTGTTTCTTTTTTCTGTAGCTTGATCGTGCTTGTTGCTATATCCTCAACCCGACTTTCAGGATGTTTGGTCAATCAAGTGAAATCCAATTACCTTTGCCCTTTGGGTAAGGGTTCTAGTAGGATGATTGCCGACAGTTATAAGGTGAAGAAGCCTTAGACTCGAGCTAACCGGGATCCTTTGTATGAGAACATGCACCTTTTGGTGATGCAGCGGTGGTCATGTGCTATAATCCAATCTCCTGGTATCAACTACGTTGGACTATAAATGGAGTCTCTCATTTTAGGATAGTTCGGGAAGTTTAGGGATAGCTTTGTAACCATGTTTTCTAGAGGTAGAATTAGTTGGTTCAAAAGACAGATCATTCTGTGTCTCAGAGTGATTAGTTATCGTTGTTGAAAAGGTACAAAGATATATCGATCGGTAGCATATAATCGAATTTAAATGATCATAGGTGATACTAGATCAATTCTTGTCTGTGTGGTTGAATCTTTGTAAGGTCAAATCCATTTATATTCAACTTTTGGTTAATAGAAAGTCTGATGTTGAGCCAAAAAAAAAAAGAGAATTAAAGACTTATCCGTAACACTCATTAAACTTCTTACTTCTTACCATAATGGTGAAAATTTTCCAGTGAAAGCTTTTAAAGAAAAAAACGTTATCATGTTCTTTTTATTTTAAAGTTAAATTGTTTGTTTTTCTATCTGTGGCACAATTACTTCACAAGGTATATATATGAACGAAACTAAAACAAAATGCCAAGAAACTGAAGTAATAATCAAGACTCTTGATTCAAGACAGTGACAAACGCGTCACCATCACTGGATCCCGCCACGGCTTTGAGTCTGCTGATGATCCGGTACCACTTTTTGGACCCGACCTGACTAAAGAAGTTGACCCGAACCCAAGAGTTAAGTCCAGATTCAGTTCTCTGTCTCCTGAATTATCACCGTAATAAATATCCCCATTCTGCCGGAGATCCTCATCAGTCGTCGTGCCGCTTGTGGATGCTACGTTATCCGAGGAATTTTCCGTCTTCAGTCTGACGTTTAAAGAGTATTCAACGGCGCCGTTCTGGGGTGGAACGGTAACGGTAGTTGGCACCGTTTTGGGATCAGTCACGGCGATGGAATCTTTGATGGGACGATGAGTTTGCGGGTCGATTCCATGGCTAAGAAGCTTCCTTTTAATATGAGTGTTCCAATAATTTTTAATTTCATTATCTGTTCTTCCTGGTAATCTTCCCGCGATCAGTGACCATCTGCAAAAAAAAAAAAATTCAAAGGTTAAATGATGATGACCCAGTTTCTATTTTCTCTCTGTTTCTTTGAAAGTTGATATTTATTTCCCGGGAAAAATTTAAAAATGGGAAGTTTATTTACTTGTTGCCGAGTAAGCTATGGAGTTTGATGATAACTTGGTCTTCTTCATCAGAAAAATTGCCACGTTTGAGATCAGGACGAAGATAGTTAATCCATCTCAATCTACAACTTTTCCCACATCGTAACAACCCTGTTACAAAAAAAAAACAATCGTGTTACAATTAAAATCATTGCTTGGACTCCATTTCCTTTTGTCAAAGTTTAAAAGTATGATCGGAGAGAACTTGTGAGACCTGCGGATTTAGGGAGAGAACGCCAGCAACCTTCGCCGTGAATACGGATGTAGTCGATGAGAAGTTGGTCTTCTTCTTTAGTCCAAGCTCCTTTGTTTGTGTGGGCTTTCTCGCAACAAGGAGACCTTCCCATGGTGAATAAAAATGGTTTGCGTGTATGTGAGAGAGAAGAGAGCATGATGTGCGGTGAGTTTGGGTCTCTTATATAAAAAGAAGAGGAGACTTTTTGACCAAGTTGGTACAAACATGTGATTATGGGTAAGAGAGAGGTTGTGCTTTGCTGTGTTTGTGTGCGGGGGATTTGGTAGGTAACCTTTATTTTCTTTATCTTATTTCTCCTTAGATTTTGCCTTTTGTTCCTTTTCCCTGTCTTTTCTTGTAATTGGAAGATTAACAAAAAAAAAAAGAAAACCTGATTCCTCTTCTAGTTGGAAATTTTATTCGAGTACATCTGAAAATTGCAGTATTTTCATCTTTCGGTCATTTGTTACTTTGAGTTATTTTTTAATTGTTATACTTTTATAAAATATTAAATTTACTTATCAACAAAAACTGATTATACTTTTTTAGTCACATGCATAAAAACATTTTGGAACATTACTATAACATAAAGAGTTTAAAAATCTCATCATTGTAGTCCTAAATAAGATTTGAGAAGTTACACTCCACCGCACAATAGCCTCGTTCTTATCTACAGTTACTTCCTTGCACCGAGAAAGCATTTGGTTGTTAAGTTTCCTGTACAATTTGAACAAGAAACAAAGGGGAGTTAGCAGGCTGTTGGTGATGTGTGCCATGTTAAGGAGATATGGTAGACTCCGAAGACTTCTATGTAATTACTTATATGATTCACCTTAGCTGTATTTGTGTATATATACCATATACGATCTTTGCAGTACATTCATTCAGCTTTGTATCTATATGGTATCATAGCTTGTTATACCTAATTAAAGCGTTTTGCTTCTTTTTTTTTTTTATCCTCTTTCTTATTATTTTGAGGAAAACTTTTATAAATAAACATTTATTTCATGTATGATTAACAATTTTGACATTTTCTAAGTGTCGACACCATATTCCATCTCAAACTTTTTTTAAATAACCTTCTTTAATCTAGACTAATTACATATCATGCCATTGAAAAATTAACCTACAAAATTATTTTATTATATGTTTCTATATATATGCATGTTGAAGAGATGAATCATCCCGTAAATGTATCATCATGACATTAGAACTAAATGACTCAAAAACAACTATGTTATTTTTATCAAAACATTAGAACTTGTAGGTTTTATTCATTCATGTAGATCCAAATGACTCCAAAATAATTATGTTATTTTTATATTCAAGTAAAAATTTGTATGTAAATTTTCATAGTACATATGTATTATATTATTCGAGTAACTTATAGTTTGATATAGAAGTGTATTTTTATATTAACACAAACAACTATCTTATTTTCATATTCATGTTATTTAAATAGAAATGTATTTTATTGCAAATAAGTGTATATCATATAAATAAGTGTATATAAAAAATGTTATTTTTATGATCATGTTATATATATAGTAGGGCATATAAATGTCAGCGACATATAAATAAGTGTATATCGAACTATATGTTACTCTTATGATTTATGTTATATACAATGTTACATATAAACAATAATAAGTGTAACTGAAAATACTGTATTATTTATTCGAGTAACATATAGTAAACTAATTAGAGATTCATACAATTCACAACATAGTAAATTATATGTATTATTCATGTAATTTCTGATAATGGTCATCACTGCTATAAATGTTAATAAACATAAATTATGTCACTAAATTAAGCAGTCAAAAGAATTTTATTCCAAATTTAATTTTTAATCACAATTTTAAAATTAAATACAGGGAAAAATGTACTTATAATTAAAGATTAAATACATGAAAAATGTACTTTTAGTTTTTGCCCGAAACATAGCCGGACCTCTACGATATTTTAGTAACCATGAAACATAAATTCACTGACTTTTAAATTTTATTTGTTGTATTAAGAATATTTTATATTGATTACATAGTATTAACTCCTTCTATCTAAGCATTAACTCTGCATATTTTTGTCTCATTAGTTTTTCACAATTAAACTAGGAAAGAATCGTCTTTTGTTGTTCACATGAATACAGAGTTACCGGTTTGGTTCGCAGAGTCCATATGAGTCTGTTTTTGTTGAAAAAAAACTTGGAAACATGATCAATTAGAAATTCTATACAACTATATTATCAAACAGAAGATATGTAATTAGCGCAAAATGTACTATCAATATATGGTGATTAATTTGTATCTGAAATACTATATACATGGAGTCAATACTATGCCTACAACTCCATCACAACCCAAGGGATTTAAAAGTATCGTTCGAAATTCAAGGCTCTCTGATTTAAAATTAAAGAAATCTCTATGGAAGATTAAGGTGAAAGTCATTAGACTTTAGAAGCAATACTCGGCTATTGGCAGAGAAACAACCATAGAAATGGTTTTTGTAGTGGATGAGATTTGAAAGAATTATCACATTATTTGGTGTTTTATTTTTTTATTATCTATGTTGCTTTAATTATTATCATCATAATTTTACTATGAATGCAATAATTCTATTACTATTTTTGTTTTTCCTTAAATTGATAATAAATTCAAAGAAATCTTTACATACTTTTATAATTTTTTTCATATAATATACTCACCTATCCAATTACACAAACTTTTTCATAAAAATCAAATAAGCTTACATTATTAAAAACTCCACACAATAGTAAGATATTTATTATGTATAATATTTGTGATATTTTACTTTCTAATATATATATATATATATATATATATATATATATTAATTCACTTTGTGCATGGCGCGGATTATCACCTAGTAAAAAAATAATCTGCTTGACAATGTCAACCAGCACCAACTCACTGGCGTCAACCAATGAAACCATTGATGTCTCAAATACTATTAACCATAGTATGACAAGCATTTCCAAGTTGATGAGTTCAAACTTCTTCATGTGGAGTTGGCAGGTTCACACTTTCCTTAACGGCTACAGTTGAGCTTTGATACAGCCTGGAAATCAAGGTTGAAAAGATGGATGATAGAAGCTTGATGGATCGACCAAATATATGATCCGGTGGACGATATGAACGGACTGCAAGCTATAAACTCGAAAAAATACAAATGAAATGAGATGCGATTGATACTAAGAAAAAATAAGATTAATAAGCAAATGACAAGATGGAATCAGGCTGTTGGACGTGTGTCACTTTCAGCTTGATCAGAAGATGATTGAAGTAGATTGAGATGGTGCTTTGCTTGCTGGATGTGTATCACTCTCAAGCTTGGCAAACAAATGGGATAGATGTGATAGTGGATTGATATACACCACAAAGCTCCGTGAAAACAGACTTTGATAAATCTGGATGCTCAAGAGCTGCTTCTAACAACATGCTAAAGACTTAGAACAATAGTTTTGATAAACCAAAAAAACTGCATATTCATGCATAAAATTTAAGGGTGATTTACAGAAATGAAAGGAAATGAGCATATATAGGCTCAACATAATTACTCTATAACAGTCTACGAATGACTACAGGAAACAAATAAACTCAAAATAAAAGTATTGGAAGCAAAGCTTTGATGGCTCCAAAGAATATAGTCGTTAGCTTGATTTATGCCTTCTTCCAAAAGAGAAACTTGTGGAGACTTGTATCGTGATAACTTCTGGACGTGGCCATGATCTTCAAGCCTTCCTAAAATAATCCTTGGTCTTAATAAAAGAGAATATGGCCGTTGGTCTTGGGCAGAAATATATAGAAACTCCTTCAAAGCATTTAGTGTAGATGTTTCCAAATATGGAAGGTTGATGGAAAGGAAGATCCACCTGATCTCCTGGGTTCTGCTGCAGCTAAGGACATCTTGGATGTCTTCTGGATGGTTTAGATGATCTCATGGCTTCCATAGAAAGGTTTAGGTCAAACCAAATTAATTTGGTTGAAAACTTTCCTATTGAGTAAACCAATTAGATCTTCTGGTTAGATTGGATTTCGGAATTGGTTATTCTTGATCTGGAATCTTACAAGGATATCTGTAATATAACAAATCTTAACGGTTGGATATGTATGGACCAAAATGTGGCTGATCTGGCCCATTGGATGCTGAGAAGATGAATTGACTTGTAAAATCCATAACTTCCTGGTCCATGAAGCTTTTCTTAATATTCCAAACCTCTGTGATTCCTTGATGAGTTATCCTTCTTTTAAAATTAGTGTCATGTCAAAAGAGTTTCTGGTTATTAAGATATTTGCCTTGGACTGAATCTCTGGTTCTGCTACTGGTTTGATGGCCGCAGCATACCCTCCCCTTTGACAAAGTTCCGACCTCGAAACCGGATAATCTGCACTAAGATAGAGAAAGTCAGATTTCATTCTATTTGAGATTCTAAAGTCTTATATTGGTATGATTTCGGTTTGGTGATGCATGGTGCATCTGATGGTTCTTCTTTGAGAATGTATGAAAGGATCACGTCTCTGCTATGGACATGGCCAATGAATCTCTTCTGGAGTGGATGGTCCTTCAATGTTTTGGTAGCCACCTTCTTTGAAGCTTTCTTCCTTACAACTTGAAATAACCTTAACCTTCTGGACTAGAAGCAAGTGAATTACATCTGAGAGTGGAGTTATATAAACAGAAGGTATTAAGTTGGAGTAACTTGAAAGCATCAGAAACTTGAAGACTTACTTCTCTTATTAGACAAGTTTGGTATATCGGTTCTTCTTGGAACTTTTGACTGTGGCTGGTATGCTCTTCTTCTTGTCTAATTCCTGGATCAATTTTTTTTGGCAAAGACAAGTGCATTATATCTGGGGTTGAAGGTTTATAAACAAAATGTTTTAGGATCATACTTACTTTGGCTGTGCCAATAAGTTGAAGTGTGCTTAGATCTTTTTTTGCTAACTTAATTCTTCTTCATTCTGTTTTCCACAAGTCAAGTGGGTAGTGTGCCTTTCTGGAAACGTCTGAAATCTTCCTCTATATTCTAATTCTTTTGATATCCCTGGATCAAAACGTAAGGACAAAACCAAGTGCATTATATCTGCGTTT